TCCCGCAAAACACACATTAGCAAATTATTATTCAATAAAATCTGAAAATGTATACTATTATCTAGATCTATTATTTTTAAATAATTTTTAAAATAATTCCATAAATTGGGGTAATCCCTAAAATATTCCACCTTTATGAGCGACAGTGTATACTATTACACCGGTCATTGGATTCAGTGCTTGCCCTCACACACTGTGTGCACAATCTCCACTCCCTGGGGAGCATTTCAGCCACGCTCTAAAAACTGAAATGTTAAATGTCAATTTAAAAGGTCCGAGGAGTGACCACTCTTTCAAAATGTCAGATTGTTTCTTTTAAAGGTATTACAAAGTTTTGGTATGGGGTCATGAATTTGGTTCAAATTAACATATTGGAAGCGTATGCGTTCCTACAATATTCATTGATCGTTGACGCGGTTGAAATCGAGTCTAAAATTATGAAATTGTAAATAATAATCTTCTTATGTCGTATAGCTCCCTCTCAAGGTCAAGATATTAATTAAGCTATTAAACAATGTTTTTTGACTAAGATCAACCGATAAGCTATTCCCATTTGGAAATTATATATCACAACTACATATTCTGAGATTTTCATGGTCGCAGCTACCATTGTACGGCCATACGCGCTATTTAAAATTTATCAAAATTTACCGGGAGCACCGGTAAATCTTTATATTCAATTTTTCTCGAAAACAGAAGTGTTTTAGGGGCTAATTTTTTTAGTGCTTATAATACATCCACAGGGGCATCCAAATATATCAAAATTGTAAAGATTCACTATCCACCCAATTTCAAAATTTCCCAAAACTTTGTATTACCTTTAACCTGCTAGATTCAACCTTTATAGTGTTGGATCCAGCACGTTCAAAGTATTAATGTACTATTTTGAAAGAGTGGTCACTCCTCGGCCCTTTTAAATGGTGATTTAACATTTCAGTTTTTAGAGTGCGGGCGTTGCTTGACGCTCACAAGCTGTTTGACCAACAATGACGGCCGCATCCTACCGGGTACCCATTTGACACCTGGGTGGAGAGTAGCAAGTGCAGGTTACTATCTTGCCAAAGGATATTATTACCGTGTCAGGATTCGAATAGCTTTTGTTTGCCCTCTTGTATCATAGAATGTACCATAGGTGCACATATGAATAATAGGGACTTTTATATTTGCGTGGGTTGATACGTGTGACGTCCATTCTTTCTTCTTGGGGGGGGGGGGGGGGGCGCCCGATGGGCAGAGCTCACTACTTTATACGTCTGGCAGTAGACATATATGATATGATTATGTGGTATTTCATTATAATGACTAGGGAGTGTAATTATTTGGGGCATCTATTGGGTACGTACAACCCGCCACTGAAAACGTCTGGCAGTGATAATTGGTAATAAAGAGAGTTGTACTTTTTTTTTCTTTTCAGGTTTGATCCAGATACTTTCCCCGCTACTAATGTAACATATTTAGCACTCATTAAGGGCGTCTGACATTTTAGGTCGTCTGGCGGGCACAACCCCTTTTAAAATGTCTGACATTGGTCATTAATGATACAGGGAGTTGTTTTCCATAATTTCCACCAAGTTTCAACCGGTAAACTTCCTTGCCGCTCTACCTCTTTTAGTGTAATTATTTATTATCCTCACAGTATAAGATCGGCATTTGGCATTTTGGGGGCGTCTGTCGGGCACAACCCACCATTTAAAACGTCTGGAATTGGTAATTCGTGGTACAAAATGCAATGTTCTACAATTTCTACCAGGTTTGATCCAGTCACTACTTTCGTTAATTTTCAGTCCCACCACTCTGTGCACGACTGACATCAATCTACTGACACATTTTAGTTCATGGAGCATTGCTGTGTATAGCGCTTTTCCGTTCTCTCTCTCTCTCTCTCCCTCTCTCTCTAACACACACACCCACACATACACACACACACACACACACACACACATGAACACGGGTCTTTCGTAGTCTCTGATGACATTTTAAACCTTCTCCACTTGTATATGTCTGATTCCTGGTCTATCATTCTCGGCATTATTTATAAAATAATTTCATAAGACCCCCATGTCTTTATTTTACGCACTTCCTTTCTTTAAAACAATGTGGGCTCGATAGGCCTACTCCATGTCCGTCATTCGCTGTTTTCGAAGCATTTGGAGTTCTCGGTTTTCAAAAGTTTTCGTTTCGCTGTGCATACTATTGGAGAGCTCGTACCACGTTTCTTGGCACACCGAGATGAATCACAGCGCGTTTACAGCGAAATGTCATCCCAAGATGCCCCTAAGCAATGAGGTGTGAGCTTTCACAACGTATGGACAGTGAAACAAAGACACCACCGTTACTCACAACTAGTCCAGATTCAGTCCGTTCGTTCTTTTTATTCCCCACACACAGCGCGGTCTCTCCACTGATCGCGCAATCCCCAAATTTCCGTCCACACGAACCCAGATTTAGAGGAATGGCTAGGTCTACTTTCAACGTTGAGGGTGTGTTATTTTATCAGCTGATTGGGTGCGCTAAACGAAAACGGTACAGAGGCTGGACTACTCACAACCCGCTCATCAATCATACATGTGCGTGTGTGTGTGTGTGTGTGTGTGTTTAAGTGTGCGTATGTGTATGCAGGGGAAAGTCCAAAATCTTGTCTTTGGGGGAGTTTAAAAAATAACTGTTGGAATTTAGGTAAGAAGAACAGAATATTACAGGGAGGGAAGGTAAGTTAGCCTTACATTTACAGAAGTGGGAACAAGTGAAGTTTTCATGAACTTCTCACACAGGGCTATTGTGGCTGTTGTAGCCTCGTTTAAAGGTACTATGTCCCATTTGCAGGCCCAAAAAATGAAAAAGTTAAATTCCAACTGCATGTGAAAGATAATACTAATTTAGAACTTCCCTTAAAAAGGTGGGGCTTGAAAATGTCTTCAAGTGGGAAAATAAAAACTATTAGTTGTCAAATCGACTTTAGGGATATAGAGCCCAAAAGTAATAGTCTTGATTTTCAGACAATTGTACCGAATGGTCATACGTTTTGTGCTGCGCAAAGACTCAATCAGTTTAATCTTGGCCATCACAAGAAGTGTGTTATTGATGTAGACAAATGCTCATGTACCCTTTACAACTCTTTTCATGTATGTTATTACCAAAGAAGAAAAAAGCCAGTCAGTCACTCAATAGTGTCTGACAGTGAAGTCTAGCAAGTAAACGGGTTTCCTTGCATAATTTGAATACGAGGACACTGCTAACGTTTAAATTTCACAGATAGGACATACATGACATATTCATAATTCCTGCACAGTTCTACAGAATTTGAGGTTGGCTGCAAAAGGGACATAGTACCTTTAAATGATTTTGTTTAAAAAAAAAAAAAAAAATTCTATTTGTCTGTCGCTCCAATTTGGGGTATTCTGAGGAGGCTAGGAACAGTGTGTGGTATATGTGTGGGAGTGTGGTCGGGTGGTTTGTGTGTCGCATAGCGGGGAGGGGGAGGGGGTAGTAGTGTGTTTGGTTGGATGGGGTTATTTGTTTTATGTTACAACTGGTTTCATTTTTGTTTTCATCAATCGTTCAATCTATGTAATGAAAATGTTTTAAATTCATGTCAAATAAAAACAACTGTATTTTATTTCTAAGATTGAATTGTTGTTTGGAATCAATAATATATAACAAAAGATTCTAGGGCAATGTGTGACATTGCCGTTTACAAAATTTGCTTCCTTTTTTATTGGCACCCCTATTCACGGTTGAAGCAGGGAGAAATATACTCGTGACGGCTGTCCATACAATCAGCTGTGTTGAACGCAGCAATAGGTGACGCAAGTCCTTTCTATCATGTAATCATAGATAAAATAATGATGAATAATAATAACAATGACATAGAATCAGAATATAAAAGGATATTTGTATCAACCCAATGCCTTTGTGTGCATCAGTCATTACTCATGCGAGGACAACAGAGAATAATAAACCAACTAATTGTTCTTAATGCAATGAATAGATAATGTTTTAATGAAAGAGTATACACGTCAATACAGGATAGGAAACTTTGCTCAGTTACATAAGCATGTCCGTTTGAGATGAATCTCTACAAAAACAAAGTAAATAATAATATCATCTTCATAGCAAAATATCATGATAAAACCGTGTTTATACAATTGTATTTTAGATGATCGTTTACAAAATGAAATGGGGAAAGAAAGAGGGAGAGAGAGAAAGAACTGGGGATATTCAGGGGGAGCTTGTTAGCACTTTTTGAGACACGTGCCCCCCTCCTAGATGGATTGACAATCCTGAATCGTTGATCTTTTCTTTCTCACTCTCTCGTTCAGATATGACACAGTAAACCGCAGCAAAAGTTACAAATATCGCTGCGCGTTTTTACTGAGCTATATGTTATGAGATACAGAAAAGTGACGATTATTACATTATACGTCATCATAAAAAAACTACCCGATCTGCCGCGTCATTTCTGAACGGGGCCTTATGAGTTGGTTTCTTTTCAAAGGAATTAAGTTTTGGGTTGAAGCAGTTAGCACAGTGGTTAGCAACCTAGGGTTAGTAAAATTTAGGCAAATTCGTCATTTTGGGGGTATAGACTAGGGGACGGCACTGGTTTCCAACTTTTGTCAAAATGTGTTAAGTCTCTACGCGGTGGTATCACTTCTTATTGACATCGTGTGTGGCACATGATAGTCAGAAATTTTTCGTAAAATTAGTAAATGGCGGGAAAGTTTGCAGATTTGATAAAAAGGGATTTTGATTTGATGAAAAGGGGTGATATTTTTCACAAACATGTGAATGCATATATTTTCTTTCTTTCTCGAAAACAGGCTGAGGGGGGCTTCTAAACATAAGGATTATATCTAGAGCCTTATCTTTGTATCAGCTCTTGTGCAAACAGGATCATGTTTTCTATATTTGTGGGTAAAATGTTCTTGAGAGTATGCACAAAAGGGTCCTTTTCGACTCCGTTGTAACGATCACGAGTCACACCTTTTAATATGAAGTGACATCACCCAACCGTGAATGAATAAACGGCCGAGCGAACGTGCAGAAAAAAGCCTCTATATATCTTAGCTCCCAGTCCGCCCCAAGTTCAGTGTGTCCGCTGCCTTATATCATCTATTTGTCCTTGAGTTCGGCCAGGAGATCTGATAGAGCCTGGAGGACATCTTTCTCCTTCAAGTCTTCATCATTTTTGCCATCGGATACTGGTGCAGCAGCAATCTGTTTGTAAGAAATTAAAAGAAGATGATAATGATAATGATGATACTCCTACTGACAGCGTGAGCAAAGTCATTAGTTGTGTCCAGGTGGCAGAGCCTTCGGAAGCTCAGGGGTTTTAGGCATTAAATTACGGTCAGAAAAGTATCCAGGGGCCCGCCTATGGGCTCTTGGTTGGGTCAAGGGGGCAGAGCCCCAAGAAGCTTAGGGTTTTCAGACATTTAATCACGGTCAGATGAGCATTTTTTTGATACCTTTGTGACACTGACAGGACACCGATTTGCGTGGGGTCAAGGGGGCGGAGCCCCCAGAAGCTCAGGGGTTTTAGGCATTACATTACCGTTAGATCAGCCTGGAGGACATCTTTCTTCTCCTCTTGGGCAACGGATACTTCTGCAGCAGACAACTGTTTGTAAGAAAATAAAACACGATGATAATGATGATGATGATACTCCTACTGCCACCGTGAGCAAAGTCCCGCTATTCTACATCCCTATGAGGGTCTTTCACACCGTCCAAGCTGACTCGGCGAACTCACAAGCAGTCGAGTATAGCACATAACCAGATGAAGAAATCAATGGATTATACTAAATATGACTTGTAAAATGTGACCAAGTTATTTAAAGACGGCGCGGTCAAATTCAAAATGCTGCAATCAATCATTCACAGTTTCATACATATATCATTTTGTTATATTTATCATCTTCTCTGACCTAATAGAGGTCAACCCGATAGTACTTGCGATTCCACTTTGGACAGATTGGAATCAGTGTAAACATGTAAACACCAACAAGAAGTTGGCGTTTAGGATCTATGTAGCTTTACTGTAACTGGAAGTAACTAAGGGACAGGACAGATCCAATGGTCCAGGTCTATCCAGGGACATGGGCTGACGTCAAACAGACAATTTAGTCGATGTCAGGATACTCAAGATGCAAAAAATACCCACATTAAAGACATAGCTATGGATTTACATTTACCATTGAATTGTATTGATTTTGGGTTTAAGATTCATATGATTGTAATTCATTTATATTTTATTTTGTAACACTCATCAGTGCAAGTTGGTCTTTCGTTTGCAATTCTTAGTGGCAATGCCTGCAATAAAATTATAGCAACAGATCACAGCCTTGTGACAGTATTTATCTTCTACACTGACTTCACCATACAAGTTCAAAGTTCACCAATGGAATCGAATGTAAAGGTTAAATGTAATGCGAAGTTTTGGAAAAATTTGAAAATTGGATGGATAGTAATTCTTGAAAATGTTTATATATTTGGATGCCCGTGTGGATGTTATATAAGCACTAAAAAATATAGCCCCTAAAACACTTCTGCTTTCGAGGAAATTGAATGATCAAAATTTACCGGTGCTGCGGTAAATTTCAAATATTTCAAATAGCCCCTAAGGCCATTCCATGGAAGCTGCGACCATGAACATCTCAGAATATGCAGTTGTGATATCGATTTTAGTCAAGACACATTGTTTTAGAGCTAAATTAATATCTTAACCTTGAGAGGGAGCTATACAACATAACGAGACTATTATTTACCATTTCATCTTTAGACTCGATTTCAACCGCGACAACGATCACTGAATATTTTAGGATCGCATATGCTTCCAATATGTTCATTTTAACCAAAACTTGTATTACCTTTAAACAAGGGATGCGAATGAAGTCAAGATTGTAATCATCATAGTGAAGTAATTATCATAAATTAAGCTTGTAATAGGCATTTGCTTCAGTTTGAGTTTTTTTTAATTGCCTTATAGTCAGTGACTGTCTGTAAGTACAAAAGTGAGCAATCGTTTTGGAATGAGATAACACAGGCATAATGGCTTTTGAACCACATTCATTGCTTCAGCCCAAACTTGGTGCAAGAGGATTTTGACAATATTCTTTTTAAAGCCTGCTGCTCAGTCGTCCGTGGCAGCACACTTATGAATACGGTGCCATTATACAGGATATTAGTTTCCCTTTACCATTAAATATGATTTAATGTTACATAGGTTACAACTTTTTGATTAGAAGCTACCAAAGTTGGGAACACGTTTTCGATACGAGCTGTGTGTATATAATATGTACGCTCACATGATGCATTTACTACATGTAGTTGAAAACAATACATCTTTTTAAAATCTATTCTTATCTGTCTTTCAAGATGATCCTTACCTGTTCTTGTATTTTGTGAATAGTCTCCATATCCTCCCCTTCGCGCTTTCTAGTAGCTGATGAAATATTAACGGAAAAAGGGAGAGAAACAAATTAAAATCATTCTTGTTGCATGATTTGTACTTAAAAAAAAAGACATTCTTTCATTGAATATGCATAACGCCGGCGTCTGAACGACAACTACTTTCCGTCAATATCATTTGGATAATCATTTTTTTTTTCAACCTCATTCTTTTTTTTATCATTAAATTCTACATACTCTATATCAGTAATTGTACTCGTACATATATTTAATATTGTCTAACCAGTCAATCTCAGCTCTGATGACAATTAGAATACTGCTATAATTGAATAGAAAATCACATTATCGTGTTTTAAAAAAAATTGAATTGAACAACATATTACTGAAAAGTTGCACACACAAAAAAGGAACGTATTTCGAATATTCATCCGATAACATAATTGTCAAATGTGTTAGTTAAACTATGCTTTATAATTCATAATACTTTTGTTTTCATTACGATTTCGTTGACTTGTTTGCTTTATTAAAAGGAGTTATGTTATGTATTTCAAAAACAATTAATAGAATTATGTGGAAAATTAATGAGCTTGAACTTGAAGCTACGTATTTGGCCTTAACGGTTTACCGAAGTGATGAACATACCTGGTTTACACAAGACCTCGGCGTCTACTGCGTGGGTACAGGCAGCCATAGCGGTGGAACTTAAATCACAGTCCATGATTGATGCCTCGTCGCCCTGACAAGTAACACCAGTGAGCGAAATCGGTCCAGTTCCAGCGCCAAAGAACTTCATTTGGTCATGCCTAAAGTAGTAAGAGGAAGGGGTAGGGAAGCCCAGCTGCCGGCAGGCGACATTAGTATCCATTTCGGTAAATCCAACGCCACACACTGTTCCCCATTGCCCATCGCGGTAGACCTCGACTATGCCCCACCCTAATCCCTCGATCTTTTTGGCACCTGCAACCCGGATGGCTGGAAGGGATGTAATGATGATGAAGAAGATGAAGAAGATAATAATGATAATGTTAATAATAATAATAACAACAATACTACTACTACTTCTACTACTATAATCATAATATTATTAATATCGACTATCAATTCCGAACCCCAAAAGAAAATTTTCATTCTGTCATGATGGTGACGCACTATGCAACCAACCAGGCGCGTACAGGGGGGGGGGGGGGGGGGGGGGGGGGGGGGTTAACATTTATTAATCAGGCCGAAAATTTCGCAACGACTCAGCCAGCCACTGAATAAGCGGGGGGGGGGGGGGGGGGGGTGAATAAGCGGCGGGGGGGGGGGGGGGGGTAAGAGGACACTTTTTTTTTTTTTTGGTCCCAAAAAAATCGCAACGACTCAGCCGACCGCTGAATAAGGGGAGGGGGGTAAGAGGACACTTTTTTTTTTTTTGGGGGGGGGGGGTGTCTCGAAATTTGAAAATTTGACATTTTGCTCCGTTAGGGGGGGGGGGGGTAAGTTCACCTTTTTTAGGTCAACTATGAGAGTTTTTTTTTTTGGAGGGGGGGGTTTACACATATAAAAATACCAAAGGGGGGGGGCTAACCCCCGAACCCCCCCCCCCCCCCTGCGTACGCGCTTGCAACCAACTCCCATTTAATAGTGTTAGACTGGCCCAGTCTAAACAGTCATTTGCAAGTCTGTACTGTCACGTCTCATGACAACGACCCAGTAGCGTACGCAGGATTTTTTCAACGGGGGGGGGGGGGGGTAATATTTATTTTGCAGCTTCTCAGCCGGCCGCTGAATAAGTGAGGGGGGGGGGAGTACATATTTTTTGTTTTGTCCCGGAATTGGAAAATTATAGCGACTATTATTTTCATCAGTGGAGGGGGGGGGGGGAGGGGGATAAGGTCAGTTTTTTTTGTTTGTTCAACCTTTAGCCCCATTTTTTTTTTTTTTACTTGAAAAAAGTGAGGGGCGGGGTTGTCCTCCGAAACACACACATCAAACCAAAATTGAGGGGGGGTTACCCCCCCCCCCCCCCTGCGTACGCGCCTCCAACGACCTATGACTGTGCTAAAATCGAAAGAAATTGACAGTACCGATCTTGAGTTATCCTCTACACAAAAAGTGCGGAGAAATAAAAAAGAAAGAAATAAAATTCTGACGAAATCTATGACAGACCACCTAAAAAGAAATCCAGAGACTTTTCTTTTCAGTAATAACAAACCAAAAAAGTATTTTAGCTTTTCCGCTTTTATTTTTGTCATTCGATTTGAAAGGACGTTTTTTTTTTTTTTTTACACTATTAAAAACAACAAAAACAAACAAATACGAAAGTACTTCGAATATTCATCCGATAACATAATTGTCAAATGTGTTAGTTGAAATATGCTTTATATTTATTAATACTTTTGTTTTCATGAAATGCAGTTATCAGATAGAAATATAGTGGCTGTATTTTTTAATTATTTGTTTACTAATAGGTATTCGCTTCGGGTCGGGTTGTCGGGTATTAAAAATCACCTAAGCTGTATTCCAACTGCCCCAAGACGTTCAAAGCATTCAGGAAATAATTCCCCACAAGGTACCCGATCACTACTCCTGGTTGTAAGGTGGTACGTTTAGATTAATGTCATGCCAAAAGATATGAGCGCCGCGACAGGACTAGTCCACTGCCTGGACTGTTCTCTACATGATCCGTGCTCGCTCACATATCATACTATAATATACACGTACGGACACACTTTTTTCGGGGAAGGTGAATTCGTGGGGAGTACGCATATCATACACGCGCGCGCATTCGGGAAAGGGCAACAGATTAAAACGACCATAAGCTGGTCTACGACAGGACTAAAACTGCGAACCATGCGATCCACGATTCGGTCAGATATCCTCTAGACCGTGACATTTCTACCTATGTATAAAGCTCCATCCCTTAGCACAAGTTACTACTAGTAAAAGCAAAAAGAGTTAACTGCTGTCCCGTACGATACCAAAGAGTGGTGAGGACTACCAAAGGAAACTGTGTTAAAAAAGAATAATATATGCAATGTATATATATACACTGTTGGTCATAATGGTGGAATAATTATTTTACCCCAGTTTAGGGAAGGATTTTAAAAAATTATTTATTTCTAATATATCTAGATAATGGCATACATTCTCAGATTTGATTAAATATTGATTTGCGAGTGTTTCTTTTGCGTGACTGCTACATCATATGTGTGCTACTATGCTAATCAGCTAGGGAACCTACGTCCTTAAATCATAATTGACAGTAATGAGGATTAATGCCTCACAAAAGGGCACTTATATAGCTGATCGACACGATTTTTATCCTGGGGCCTCACAGTAACGAGGCCATTGCTTAGCCCCTGAATCATGACTGTACGCAGTGTTTGCTAGGGTACGCGGCCGCCCCCACAAATCCCCCAAAACGAAGAAAATGCAATAAATTGTCAAAAATTCATTGCAATTTCCCCCCCGCCCCCAACAGGAAAAATTTCTCTGTGTGGCCATGCCTTGAACCATAATGCATGGCCCTACAGAGGAATTTTTCCTGTTGGGGGCGGGGGGAAAATGCAATGAATTTTTGACAATTTATTGCATTTTCTTCGTTTTGGGGGAATTGTGGAAAGGGCCGCGTACCCTAGCAAACACTGCGTACAGTCATGATTCAGGGACTAAGCAATGGCCTCGTTACTGTGAGGCCCCAGGATAAAAATCGTGTCGATCAGCTATATATCAGTGCCCTTTTGTGAGGCATTAATCCTCATTACTGTCAATCATGACTTAAGGACGTAGGTCCCTTAGCTGATTAGCATAGTAACACACATATGATGAAGCAGTCACGCAAAACAAATACTCGCAAATTAGTATTCAATAAAATCTGAGAATGTATGCCATTATCTAGATCTATTAGAAATAAATAATTTTTAAAAATCCTTCCCTAAACTGGGGTAAAAATAAATATTCCACCTTTATGACCAACAGTGTACCACACTACTCCCATCGCCCGTGGTTCATATCCTGCACTAACCGGATTTCTAACTTCGTGTCAGGACCAAACACAAAAAAGTTAACCCTATCAGTCTAAACGCATCCATAAAACCCCATCGCACACCCTACTGTAATATGTAGCTGGTCGCGGTTCTAGAACATTTCATTTTGTTTATTTTTTGGACGGGGTGAGGCCTTTTTTTATTTGGAGGGGGGGGGTGTGAGGTCGAGTGCTTGAAGATGTGTATTTTTTAAATATATTTATTAAGAGGCATGGGATTTGAGCCCCCTTAACCCCCCCCCCCCCCCCATTAGAATCGCTACTGCCCTGTTTACAAAACCAAGCACAGAAGAATAATTATCGGAGCAGGAGCAAAAGTCAGATTTTGTTTGGAGATTTGGACGACTCACCGCGACATATCACTCCAGCATCCTCAGAGTGAGTGCAATCTTCATCCCCGATATCGTTCATCCGGCAATCCACGATTGAAGCTTCGTTGCCTACACAGTTCACATTGTCCAGAAGGATAGCACCTGTGCCTTCGCCGAACGTCTCGGCCATTCTCGTGAAGTCAGAAGCTCCAGGGAAGCCCAACTGCCTGCACACTACATTAGCATCTTCCTGCCCCCAATGATCGTCGCACACTGTTCCCCATTGCCCTTCGGCATAGACCTCAACTCGACCTTGATTGGCGGAGCTACCTGATCCGGCAAGTCGCACCGGCACTGAAAGAGATATTTGCATTGAATATATGAAATGAAATAATTCTGCAATGGTCATTAAAAATGGTTAATAATTGTGCCTAATAATAATGGCACGTAAGCCATTATGACGTATCGCCACATAACACCACGTAAAACCAGATATCGCCACGTAACGTCACGCAAAGCCATGTAACGCAATGTATTGCATGTAACATCGATAACCACGTAACGACACGTAACACCACGTAACACAATTTCTTCCAACGTATTGTCATGTACTGGAACGTACTGGTATCTATATTTTATAAGCTGGGTAACATAACCTTCGTGTGTTGTTTTTTTTTCGTTTAAATATATGACAAGTGCGTGCAACAAATGTCCTATGAGCATTTACAAAGCTCTGAGTGACAAGATATAGAAATACGAAGCATACTAAGCCTACAATTACGTCATCATGATTCTTTTTAGAACAAAACCGCCTTGGGATACCGCCTCATATCTGAACAAGGTTTTATGGCTAAGGTTTATATGGAAATGTTATTGCACCGTTAACACATTGACAAAAATCCACAATTTCTAACCCTCTCTTTTTAGATGTATATTTTTGCTTAAATAGGAGAAAGCATGTACTGCATTGGTCATAAAGGAGTGACAACAGTGGTACAGCTACATGGGGTTCACCTCCCTCTCCCCGTCATCAAGATTTAATTATTTAATCGGATAAGAATTTTAGAATTTTTGCCAACATCCCCCCCCCCCTGCCAGAGAACCCTGGATCCGCCTCTGATATTTATATATGAATTGTACACTTCTCATGAAGTTCACTCTAGCTGATTGTCAGGAGAGGATAAGAAAGATCCATTTTCTTCAACCCCCTTCTCGTTTTTCCCCCGAGAATGTATAGACAGAGAAGGATTTTTGATTTTTTTTTTTTTACAAAACCAAGCACAGAAGAATAATTATCGGAGCAGGAGCAAAAGTCAGATTTTGTTTGGAGATTTGGACGACTCACCGCGACATATCACTCCAGCATCCTCAGAGTGAGTGCAATCTTCATCCCCGATATCGTTCATCGGGCAATCCACGATTGAAGCTTCGTTGCCTACACAGTTCACATTGTCCAGAAGGATAGCACCTGTGCCTTGGCCGAACGTCTCGGCCTTTCTCTTGAAGCCAGAAGCTCCAATGAAGCCCAATTGTCTGCACACTACATTAGCGTCGTTCTGCCCCCAATAATCGTCGCACACTGTTCCCCATTGTTTATTGGCATAGACCTCGACTCGACCTTGATTGGCGGAGCTACCTGATCCGGCAAGTCGCAACGCTGAAACGGAAAGGGATAATTGCATCGAATATATGAAATGAAATAATTCTGCAATGGTCATTAAAATGGTTAATAATTTGGCTTAATAATAATGCCACGTAACGCGACTTAACACCTCGTATCACTGCGAACGTATCAGGACAATAACCCCCTGGACAATCACACCCAGAAAATTACCCCCAGAAAACTAGCACCCAAGGACAATTACCCCCCGGAAAATTGCCCCCGAGGACAATTACCCCCGGAAAATCCCCCCCCCCCCCAAGGAAAATTACCCCCACCCCTGAAAATAACCCCCCGCCCCAGGACAATAACTCTTTCCCCCAAAATCACCCTTTCCCCTGTTTGTTAAAGGGGAATTCCAGGCCGATAATAAAGTTGATTTTTGTTCGGGGGGGGGGGGGGTTATTATCCTCAGGGGGGTAATTGTCCACGGGGGGGGGGTATTGTCTTTGCGGATAATTTTCCCGGGGGTAATTGTCCCCCGGGGGGGGGGGTTTCTTCGGGGGTAATTTTCAGGTGGGTAATGTTCCTTGAGGGTAATGTTCCGGGGGATTTTCCGGGGGGGGGGTAATTGCCCAGGGGGTAATTGTTGTAAAACCCACTGCGACGTATCGCCACATGACACCACGTTAAACCAGGTATCGCCACGTCACGTCACCTAAGGCCATGTAATGCAATGTATTACCACGTAACAATGATTACAACGTAACACCACGTAACACTATTTCTTTCAGCGTATTTTCACGTACTGGAACAAACTGGTATTTATACTATGTTTTTTATTTTTATTTATGTGTTTATTAAGAAATCAAATCATAACATATACAAACTTTCCCAAAAAATACAAATGCTGTGTTACAAAAGAAATTAATGACAAATTAAGATATTTACAAACGATTAAGATGATCTGGGGGAAGGAAAAAAAAGGCAGAGTACACGTAATAGAAATAATCATAATTTAACAATTACAAGTACAAAAGAAAGAACCTCGAGATAGCATTGTATCAGAAACTAAACATTTCGTTGGGCCCAAAATGAAGAAAAAGGAGTAAAAATAAGCCATCCACAGGTACAATGGAATCTCCAGACCACCAACAGGTTGGAGGAGCAAAGTCGAGGAATGAGACAATCCGCTCTACCCCCCCCCCCCTCACACACACACCCTCAACACTCTCATACTAACACTCAAACACACAACCACCCCCTCCCCCCTCCCCCCTCCCCCAACACACACAATCCACACGCAACATGCGGGTAAGACAGATCGCCTCACACACCGACCCCGCCCACTCCAGACACCCATTCGGCGAATTGCGCAGACAGAGCGTGGGGAAATCAACTGAAGTGATAAAAATACAACGCATTCCTGAATAGGCAATAAGGAAACACGCGTAAACTGACCCAATTCCAATCGAGGTTATTGCTCATGTTACACAGTGGCAATGTGATTTGTAAACAAAAATTATATGCACACAAGTAATGTAAAATTACTTGACTATGGAAAATACCTAACAGCAATGTAAAAGGGGAAAAGAAAAAAAAAGAGGTTGGAGTAACAATAAATACTTGTATCTCTGTAAAGGGGCACAGGAATATTTATTTAAACTATGTTAGCTGGATAATGTAACCGCTGCAGTATTTTTGTATGACGTATGAATAAATAACAAAAACGAATATTACCCCATAAGTGTGTAGGCCTACTGTACACAATGCAAAATTTATTTTTCAGCCCGCGGATATATGAAGAATTTTCTTAGTCATCATTAAAAAATAAATTGAGACCTAGATATGAAACTTCATGGACTTACTCTTTATGAGATACCCTATCATGACAGGGTTCAGAAATTGTGGTCATTCCAAGGGTACACCTCCGCCCCGCCCCGCCCCCGGTTTTTTTAGGGTTAAACTGTTACAATTCCCCTGAGATCAGATTGAGACTTAAACGTTTAAAGCCCTATTGCACTACTTGTAGCTACTTGCTCCCTCGATATAGAAAACAATGCCTACGGCGGTGCCCGTTGGTCCCCCATGATCCTCTTTTTTCTTATTTTAATTAAGAGCCGAGTTGATGAGATAACCAACTGTCAGTGACCATGCTGGGAGGTCTAATTCCCCTGGCCAAACTAGTGCAGACGGGCTATAAAACTAGCGTCATTTTCTTTAATATTACTGTAAATGATTAGATTGACATTTCTGAACATTTGCATTAATGCTTTTGTCTTCCAATCACTCCTTTTGTGACAATGTTTACTAGTTTAAGCAGCTTATTGCCGGGAAACGGTGCCACTTTTCCCATTGACACACCGTACATGCAAAGCATAACTTTCAGTTTTGACTTTCTTAAAGCCCCACTGCACTACTTATAGTTACTTGCGCCTTGTATATAGCAAACAATGCCTAGTCGGTGAACGTTGGTCCCCATGGTCCCCTTTTTCTTATGTTAATTGAGAGCTAATTTGATGAGATAACCTCCTGTCAGTGACCATCCAGGGAGGTCTAATCCCTCCTGACCAAACAAGTGCAGATAGGCTTTACCTCTTGAAATTTAGGTACACAATCTCATGACCACAACTCAACTTTATCTTTAACTATATTAACAGGATACCGTAACCGCTGCGGTATTTTGGTATGACGTATGAATAATTGACAAAAATTAATATTAACCAATAATTTACGTCGGACTAATTTACACTTTGCCGGTTATGTTAAAGGGTGATAATCTCTACAAAGAGCAATAATCAGAACTAAACTGGATATTTAAAATGACAACCTTTTACAAAATATATGAGGTGGACAAATGAAAAATGTTCTTACCTCCTTCTCGATAAACTATGAAGTAAAGAAGAAAAAAAAGAGTTGCATGTAAATTTAATTTGATAATGATTATAATGATATCGCCGTATAAGTACTCTCGATAATGTTAAAAGTGCATAATACATAATACACGTGGAAAGACAGGAATGTATAATACAACAAACGTATACTATAATAAGAAATAATTGATGGGGGGGGGGGGTTAAAATTTGAAAATCTCGCCGAAAATTTCGCAACGACTCAGCCGGCCGCTGAATAAATGGAGGGGGGAATATTTTGTTGCCTCCTTTAGCACAATCTTGAGGGGGGGGTAACATGTTCATGCAACATACCTTTTCTTGCATGATGTACCCCCGGGGTACGCGCCTGAATATGTAAACCGCACTACTCCCATCGCTCATATTAGATAGTTTTGTTGAACGACCTTAATTCTAATCATAATCTAACTAGTAACGTTTCTAGAAGTTTTTTTTTAATATTTTACTTTTAAGGGGTGGGGGGGGGGGGGTGCTGTCTTTGGGGCCTAGGGATCTCACATTCCTAGTCTGCACGTGCTTTGATTAAATGTACTATTGAGCACGGAGTAATTATTGTCGGACCAGGAGCAAAAGATCGGAGTTTGTTTGGAGGTTTCGGTGATTTACCCTGAGCAACGTTACATATTACTCCACCATCCTCATCGTGACCGCAATTGTGTATTAATATGTAAATGTATATGTGTGTTTGTGGGTGTTCACACACGTATAGATTTCTATGTTCATGCAACATACCTTTTCTTGCATGATCAATTTATTCATTCACATTTCAGTAATAATAATCATCTTGAACATATTCATACTTTGAAATGAGATAAGTTATAGGACTAATTTCCACTTTGTCGGTTATGTAATAACGTGATAATCTCATTAAAGAGCCATAAACAGAACTCAACTGTATATTTGAAATGTACTTATAACCTTTTACCAAATATAAGAAGTGGACAGATGAAAAATGTTCTTACCTGCCGTTTGAGTGCCTGTGGAATATGAAGTAAAGAAGAATAAAAAAAAACAGAGTTGCATGAAAATTTAATCTGATAATGATTACAATGATATCGCCGTATAAGTACTCTCGATAATGTTTAAACTGCATAATAAATATATAGACTCGAGAGAATTGAACTTCCTGCTTCTGAGTTTATCGCATACACATTCATTGCTTGTAATGATGATGATGACGATGACGATGGTAATAGTAATAATAATCATAATGATAATAATGATTATAATGATGATAATGATAACTTCATCTACAACTATCGGAGAGGACCTTAAGCCATCGCATATTATAGGGTAATTCACTGAAAATGGACTAATTATCCATGATTTTTTATAAACCCAGAAGAAATGTTTGGATTTCTAGGGATTTCCGCTTAAATTTTTTCACCAACATTTTTTCTGATTTCTAAGCTTTAAGTTGATACCAGATTTGGCTGCCGCTTTCTGCCGATTATTATGTCAGGGCCGATTGTCCTTGCCACATTGCCCGGAAAAATGTGTTTATTTTGGTCCGCGGCTGAATCATGAATGTTTCGCGGTCATAAATTACGGCGCGTGACCAAAATAAACACATTTTTCGGGGCAATGTGGCGAGGAAAATCGGCTATAACATAAGACAGGCAGAAGATGGCAGGCAAATCTGGTATCAACTTAAAGCTTAGACATGTTGGTAATAACATTAATGAAGGAATTCCTGGAAATCTAAACATTTCCTTTGGATTAATAAAAAAAAAAATTAATAATGAGTCCCTTTTTTCAGTGAATTACCCTATAATATATTATGAAGATTGTGTTTCCAGTGGCGGATCCAGGGGGGGGGGGGGCCGGGGGCCCGGCCCCCCCCCCCCCCCCCCCCTTGAGAAAAAAAAATCATGTAAAATCACGTGATTTTTACCTTTTTTGGGGGCCCCCCCACTGACCCCTGGGGGGGGGGGGGTGCAAATTGAATTTTTTTTGAGGATCCAAAAAAAAAAATGTGCTCACTACCCCCCCCCCCCCCCCCCCATGCTATGCCATATAGTTCCCCATATCAAACATTCTTATGCTAATAGGTTAGCTCTGCTAACAATTAAAAATCTATTTCTTGCGGGTCCTGCAATTATCGTTTTAACATTGCCAGGTAAGTACTTTATAAACCTGGGTCGAGAGTATCAGATGAGTGCAGAACACAATGTCTACAGATCATAAGATGTAACCAACGAGTAAAAAAAAATCGAACCCGGGACCTCCCGAATGAACGTTCACCAATATACCACTGCTCCATGTGTATCTAGGCCATCAGTGTGATAGAGGGTAGAGTATTCATAGTACGCTACGTGATTTTTTTTTTTTTCAGGGCCTTCATGGTTTTTTGGTTTAAGTGCCTTGATTTTTATGGACCGCGGTCCTGACTTGGAGAAGACCTGGGCTTGAAGATTAGGGCATTTAATCATAATTTTTGGTGGGGAAGGTTTAACAAAATTATCTAGGGATTCCTTTCGCCCCTTCTCACGACGTTTTGGTCATTTTGGCCACAAAAGTGGCCCAAACTGATCATTGTGGTCACTTTTGGTCAGGGGTAATTTTTCCAGTCGTTATAAGCGCCATGAGCACCGAAAGGTGGACCTGTGCGCTATACAAGTAGCCACTATTATTATTATTATTATTATTATTATCAGCAAAGGAGATTCGATGGACCTTTTCTATGTAAAAAGAAAAAAAATGTCCCTTGATGCTGGAAAAAGTGGTAGAATTGACCCCCGTCAACAACAATGTGGTCACTTAGGTCACTCTGTGGTCAATAAATGATAATTTGTATTGATTTTTGTCAAAAATCAGGCCAAAAATTTCAGTTAGAATCAGTTGAAGGGTGGGTTCTATCATCCAAATTCAATTTGGCCTGACTTAAGAACCATGAATAAAATTAATGCTAGGTATATCTACAGTGCCGGTTGAATGTACTCAGACAAATCTGATCCCTGATATTTGTTTTGGCAAAATCTTAAGAAACTATCGATTCTAGATTTAAGAATTATCGGTCCCATTTCAAACAAGTGCTTTATACACAAACCTTTCTGATTCAGCTAGGCCGTTAATTGTTTGTTTGTCATCATTGAATCTTTGGAAATGTTATTATGAACTTTATCCTAGTTAGAGATCGCAAAATGCACCAGAATCCTAATTAAATGCGAATGCCTGAAAGCAACGCAATTATATGCAATAGAGCAAAGTGACCGAGCTTTATATTTTTTCCCCAGTTTCATGATTTTAAACCCTTCTTAAACAGTCATCGTCTTTATACAGGCACTTTACTCTGAAATTAGGAGCACATAAACGTTTAGGAACCATAATATTCCTTTTCTCCCTTGTCTTCGCCTTGTTTTCCCTTATGCGTTTGTTGTGCCCAATCCCTTGGCAACCCTCCCCTCTTGGCAAATATATGGTCAATTAATGACACTAACCTCTGCATCTCACTGCTGCATCCCTGTTATGGTCGCAATTAACTGCTGCATCGAGTTTTTTCGCATTACAGTCGTAGAGTAGATTCTCCCTGCCGGTACATGCCACCGTGCTGAGTAAGACTCGTCCTGAGCCTGCGCCGAATGGTGAGGGCGATCTTATAGCGGCAGAAGCACCTTCAGAGAAGCCCAACTGTTTGCAGACCACCGAAGCGTCATTCATACCCCAGTAATCGTTGCAAACTGTTCCCCATGCTCCATCGTAGAACATCTCTACCCGTCCATTCGCCGCGTTGCTACCTGTCCCGGCAAGTCGCACATCTAACAGGAGTATAGAGGAAAATGCGAGTCACACATACAAAACAAAATAATCGGGGATACTTTGCAGACCGAGCACAAATCCTTGTCAATTGTAATGTATACCCCCCCCCCCCACTCAGTGTTATTTAGGGTACGCATATGCTCGTCCCCTCTTTTTGAAAGCACCCCCTATCTGAGGACTGCCAACATTTCCGAACCCCCCTTTCGCGGGCTTTTCCTGCCTTGGAGACCCCCCTAAATCAGGTAAAATGCTCAATGTACCCCCTAAATTCTGAATAACTTCTCAGGAGTCCAAAGAGATGAGAGAAAAAAGGAAAAACACCCCCTTTTGAAAGAAATCTCCGGGTGAAAAGTCAAATACAACCCTTTTTTTTACAATTCTCGGGCCGGACTTTGTGGCACGAAAAGCACCCCTTTACCGGATATTTTGGCAACACGCATGCGGTCATTCCGACCCCTGAGTGGGGGGGGGGGGGGGGGCGGGAATGTATAACAGTGAGCTAGGAGAATAGGACCTGCATGCACTGTATCTGTTCCTGACAATACGTACTCACACAATCAGGAGGTGTTTTACAAACACTAAGATCGAATTTAAGTTGGACCTAACTATGGGAGGTCGTTCATGCCATTGTTCGCTGTCATCATTTACTGGCATTGGTCTCTCAAGGAACGTACAATGGTCACAACACTACAGAATGTACATTTTTGTTTTGATAATTCATTATTGAAGGAAATAATATCATCTAAAGATCATAGCAAACAGTGGCATGTCCAACTTAAAGTCGATCAGAAACACTCCCCTGGAGGAACTGGGCTAGCCTTCACTCAATTCACATTAAAAATTGTAAAAAAGTGTCAAATAATTAAAGGGTTGGTGCTTGCCGACTAATTCTGCTTTCGTTTTTCCGAAGATTCATTTTTTTCTGAGGTTCATACGTCCTAAGGTTCCTACATCATGAAAACAAATTTTCTGTACATGGTGTACATAATTTCTAAAATTGATTTTGTTGCGTTATTCTGAAGGTTCATTATTCAGAAGGCTCGTAATTCCGTAGAGGAAATAGGATTCATTATTCTGAAGTTTTGTATTTCGAACGATAATAAAACAAACCCAGCGTTGTATGACTTTTTTTGGAAAATATGACCTTTCAATATGACCTTTGGAATTACGAAATATCAAGTCATTTAACTTTCGGAATAACAAACCTTTAGAATTACGGACGTCAAGAATAAACGAATCTTCGGAATAAGTCACTGTCTGCGCATGGGCAGATAAAGGTCATTTGTACAAAACTATAAAACCCACCGCGACGACTACTGGATAAGTGTTCATGAAAGTTGTGTAACCGTTTGTTTATGCATCGGCGGTACATTCTACGATACACAGGTGGAATCCTTATTTTCAAGAGGACAAAGATAAGGTATTCATAAAGCACTTTCATCCCTTTGACAGTGATTATGCTTAAATGCAATGAAAAGTGGGACGTCTCCATGTGTTGTAAGAGATCTGTGATTTTTCTCTTTTTGGGGGGGGGGGGAGGGGTGGTTGTGTACAATTAAGTCCTAAATCCAGGGTACGTTATTATTTACCTTCGGAAACAAAACGATACGCAAAATTTTAAGAGAGCACTCGCTGAAATATAATTTAATTATGGTATGTTAGTTGATAACGTATACATTTAATGTTTCTCTTCAAATAAGCCAGTTCACAGATACAATCTGTGCATGGGCAGATAAAGGTCATTTGTACCAAAATGGTAAAACCCACAGAGATGAATACTGGATATGCGCTTATGAAAGTTATGTAACATTATTCATTTATGCACCAACAGTACATTCTATGATACGCAGGTGGAAGTATTCTTTTCAAGAGGTCAAACAAAAGGTATTCCTGAAGCACACCTAGGACTTTGGCAATTATTATTCTAAGATGCTCAAAGTGGAACTTCTCCATGTGTAAAAAATCTGTGGATATATTTGGGGTCATTTGTACATTCTGTGATTTTGTAAGCGCTATTGTACTTTTGTTTTAGCGCTCCTAAATAATCGATAATATTATTAGTCGTAATAGCAGCGTTTCACAATTTCAAAATTCCTATCTAAAGTGTCTAGGTTAGTACATGGACCTATTACGGATGGACATTCGACGTGATTCTTTCTTTGATCCAATGAGATTCACCGCCTTCTGATTATGTGCATCTTAATAAGAACATTTAGCTGTTTTAACAATAACGACTGCGTTTATAGCATTTTCGGTCATTGACAAAGGAGCAGTTTCCCTCTCTTGGGTTTTGTTTGGGTGGTGTGCTCTGTAAGAGTGTGTCTTAAATAAAAACATCCCCAATGAGGAGCAGCAAAGTTGAAAAGCAGACGATTTTGGTGATATGAAATTACTGATTCGCACACTTTCGCAAACACCCATGCATGACCTTATAAAAACAATTAGAAGGCCATGATCTTTATAAGCCCTGTGCGTTGTAACTTTGGAATATTATGAGGAAATTGGGGGAAACGGGATTTAAATCACACCCAATCAAACATATAACTTCTATCTGGTAATATCAACATGTTTTTCAAAATAACATACAGTACACGCAACAACAATTTCCGATTATACACAAGAATTGCACATCGACTTCCCATGATTTAAGCGCTTTATTATCTTCTGCGCATGTAGATTAACATGTGTAAAATCACTATCTTAATTCTTTCCCGGCTTATTGGCGGTGACCCTCATGAGATCAAAGTGAAGAAAATTGTACGGAATGTTCATGAGACGACATTGACGGAGACGATCACAATGAATTCGATAACTAAACGACGAATGTCCATCCGTAATAGGTCCATGGTTAGTGCAAATCCCCAATATACTTCTTTGTTATCCAATGATTATTCTTTCTTTCTTTTCCCCCTTCCACAGGATACTTTATTTTCAAAACAAATTCCATCACATACAGTATATCCATATATTATATACAAATAATTAAAGAAATAATTTTCATACATAATGGCTTGACACAGATAATAATTATCACGCCCGACAACTTTTGTGGCAGCTAAAACAAACATTTATGACAAAATTAGTACTTTAAATTTATAATAAAAAAATACCTAACATAAAATACATGATCATGTTTATGTTAGCACATTTCCAACACTCTCAAAATATTTTCAAAGTGAAACCATTTCTTTTTCAATTTATTCTCTCTGAGATTTGTTTGGTATATATATGTTTGCATTTCATAATAACGTTTTACAGCTGATAAAGTTATATCAAATGATGGTAGTTGATAATCTTCGACCATACTTCATTAGAATAGTTACAAAAGCAAAAAACATGTATGATATTTTCATCATTGCTACTACAAAAAGTACACTTCTTGTCGGCCACTTCACCAAATCTTAACAAACTGTCCTTCATATATAATATTCTATTTAAAATCTTGATTGGTTGATATCTATTCTTAATGACTCTTAATGATTTATTTAATTTAATGAATCATAGAGTTTTAAGTGGGGCCAAACTTGACTAGCTTTTGCTATGAGTTGGCCCAAATTGTATAGTTATTTTCATGCTGAAATAAAACGTATCTAAAATTTTGGCAGTAAATGGATGAATGAAAAGTGAATGAAGGAAATGTATAACTTACCATAATTTGAGTAGGCGCTTGCCACACCGAGGCAGAGAAGAAGCGAGAGAATAGTGTAGCCTTCCATCATAGCACGATTCAACCAGGACCATCTGGTAGGATGTATCGATGAAAAGTGTTGCTAATTCTTGAAGGAGGTGCGTTTTTATAGTGACATGATAACAAAAAGAGCCTCTCCTTCAGAGATTTGAAAGGATTCGAAATATTTACAACCTTTCTCGTTAATGTAGATGGCGTTAACCAGTATTTCTTCAGACTACGCCCCCTTTAAACTAATCGGCTTTACATACAACATCATTTACAAACAGACAATTTCGGAGCGATCGTTTCGAGATTCACTGCTCTTAAATGCGCAGTAGGGCCATTGCGCATTGTGTGTTTACTATCAGGCAGATTCGCGCGCGCTAATTGGCGCCCGGTCTTAGCTCCGCCCAGTTAAGGACGTATATCCCTTCACACACAAAATGGCTTGCCTCTAAAGCAGGGCTCCCACTTAGCCGAGTTGGAACCTCGAGTTGTGGCGAGCTGGCGCGATCTTATGGCAAGCCGTTTTATCATTAAAACATATTTTTTGATATCAAGAATTCAATTCTTGATATCACGAAATCGAATTATTGATATCAAGAATTACCATTGCTTTACAACATAAAATTATTTCTTGATAACAAGAATTGATTTATTGTTATCAATTGATAATAAAACGGCTTACCATAAGATCGCGCCAGCTCGCCACAACTCGAGGTTCCAACTCGGCTAAGTGGGAGCCCTGCTTTAGAATCGGATTCTCGAAGAATAGGTACCTGGGCCCTGTTATTATAAAACTTTTTATCAATAGCAAGTGTCACATTTCTACAACAAATTTGCTCACAGCCTCTCAAATGCAACGACGGTGAACAAGTTGAATGAAACAAGAACAAGTTGATAAATGGGATAATAAGAGAACACAAGATCCAATAAGTGCACATATTATTTATTGTAATCTTACATACAAGAATCGTGAACTCCAAAATGTAATGGGGTGGTATTCCTTTTAACTGTTGACTTCAGTAGACGGTCACAGTTGAAAACTTCGCTTGGGGAGGAGGGGTGGGGGGGGGGGCAGAAAGATCAGGTAAAATATCGATAAGAGATGTGACCCCTCCTTTTCCCTGGGTCTGCCATTGAATAGATATATCAATCAATACGTTGACGTCTTCATAATGCTCATAATGTTTATCTGTATTGTCCATTCAGCGGTGGAAATACGTCGTATTCACATGGCATTCGGTACATAAATTAAAAAAATAAACACATTCATACAAAAAGACACCTTCAATAATAGCCATTTTGAGTCAACGGAAAATAAACAGGCACAAAAAAAGAACAAACTTAGACCCTTCCTGCATAGAAAATAACATACATATATATCAGTAAAGCGCACAGTCCATAATTGTTACGGGTGTCAATAATGTATTGTATTATTATTGTTATTATTATTGTTATTATTAGTAGTAGTAGTAGTAGTAGTAGTAGTAGTGGTACATGTAGTAATACTAATAATAGTAAAGATAATTATTTGTATTATGAGTTTCGTCATCATTATAACATTATAACATGCCCTAATTACAGAACAGGTGGTTTTGTCCATCATATTCAAACAATATTTTTTTACAACAATTTGGTTCACTATTCCAACATAAAATAAATGACCATCTGAACAAGGAAAATAGTTATGCCTCTCTTAACGTCACACCAAACTTCTCATGAGGCCCCTTATGATAGACTATTTCTTCCTTTTTGCAACTCATTTCATTTATTGCTATTTTCAAACCTAAAATGAAACAACAAAATGCGTTGACATGTGCAGGGCATGGTCGATTATCGGTTAGCAAAATTACAAGAAATAAAGGTCCATGATTTGGATCACAAAGAACTAATAATTACTGAAAACTGACCATAATGTCCGAGAATAATAATAATATGTAGATTTATTCCCTGCCACAGGATATAATTGCCTCATCGGGGATCGAACCCACAACCTTTTGCATTTCAAGTCAAGTGTTGAAACCACCCGGCTACGACACATCTGCATAAAGAACATGGACATTATGATAAGGGAGCTTTCTTTATTTGATCATCAACAGAAACAAAATTCGAATCTTTTCGAAGCGTGACCAGATTTAAAGTATGCTTAAATGGGGGCATTGGTGTACTCAGAAGAAGAACAAAAAAGGGGATTATGATCCAATGTAACGCATCGAAATGAAAAAATATATATATAGTATAGATTCGACCTTTATGTCTAGACATTGCATAACGCATTTTGTTTTGGTATTCCCATCCAAGTAAGTATTCTAGGCCACGAATCTTTTCGAAGCGTGACCTGTACTTAAAAGGAAAAAAGAGGATTATGAGCCCATGTAAGGCTTCGAAATGAAGATAGGAAGAAGGATAACAAAAAGTATAGATTCGACCTTTATGTCTAGACGTTGCATAATGCATTTTTTTATTGGTATTATCCGCCATGCAGGTAAGTATTTAACCATTAAAGATATAGATCCTCTCTCTCTCTCTCTCTCTCTCTCTCGTTCTCTTCCAACAAAAAAAGGTGTAAGGGGGGGGGGGGGGCTCGATTCCCCCGAGCCCTACCGTTCCGCGAGCCCTGCTATGGGTGCTAATTAGGCTTTTGCTAATCGATACCAGCAAAAGTTTCCATTCTGTTTAGACCGTTTATGTCATTTTGACATTTGGAGCCAAAATTACTACAAGTATTTGCATAATTTATCCAACAAACTAAATATTCTCAAGCAACAACGTTTGCGTTGACGTTTTAAGAATTGGGACACTCTCAAAAAGACTCTTGCTCAGATTCTTTGAATTTTAATGAACATGGTTTATTAAAAGTTCCTGCCTGTCCAAAATCACACTTGAAAGAAGTCTTATAACTACTCCAACATAACAAATACAGAACAATTTTTGACTCACACAAATTCATGACATGCATTTTTGGAAAACTAAGACTTACCGAGTCACTATTCGTACTCACTCGAGCCCTCTTTTCTTTAATACTAAAGTACTGAGAGTTCGAGATATTTTTTATTTCACAATAAGATTGCCTCATGTTTCAGCCGAATAACAGCGAACTGCCCCGTGCACTATCTTATTTGTTTAAGAAAAGAAATCAAGTCCACGAATCTCCTACCCGACAGGCGTTTTCCTATTACCTTCCTAGAACTAGAACACGCTTTGCTCAAAATACCATAATATATAAAGGTCCTAAGTTCTGGAATTCTCTCGATTCTGTGATAAAAAGGTTTGTAAGTGTACATGTATTCAGAAGAAAATTGAAAAGTTATTATTTGAATACATATTGTCATTCCTGATTCCTGACTATTCTTGTCTCCAAGCTGTATACTTTTGTTCATTACAATGAGTAACTAATGGTATGACCATACCAACTATTTTTATAATATACTCATATCGAGAACAAACTATATTGTAATATTGTTTCCATAAGCTGCAGATATATTCCCTTCCCTTTTCCTTGTCCGTTGTAGTTAATTGTGAGTATCGGTTCATGTATCCCTGTAATCTCCCTTTCCCTGTTTTAGCGTGTATTTATATTTTTGTAAACTTTACTTTTATGCCATTTTGTAGATTAAGGAACCTTTCCACAACAAGCTCTGCTTTTCCATAGGCTCCGCCACTATATCTCTTAAGTTCAACTTAATGGACAATATTCTGAATATTGTTAACCAGTATTATGTGTACATGTATATTAAAATCATTTTCAATATGTTGTTACACTCTTTGTAAAATGAGATATTGTGGAAACCAATAAACTATCTATCTATCTATATCCAAATCAACAAATCAACTTAGACTTGAAATTGAGTGAAATTTATCAAATCGACTCATGGGAAATAAAATACTGTACAGTGTACATTTACTGTTTTGTTCTTTTTGGAACACCTAAAAATGGCAGATAAACTAAAAATTTGCCACGCAAAAACCGACATGTCTTTTTTCCTTGGACTATAATTCTGAACTGCCCTGTCTGAAAACGAGCACTTTTCAAAAGAAACACGGAATAGTCTTCAAGCCAATCTATACAATGGAACTCAAAGTATCAAATGGCCTGTCTGGCTTCGAGTGTCATAAGAAGCAATGAATTAAAGGTACTAGGTCAGAGTGTCCTTTCAATGGGAATACTATGCTCTCATAACAAATTTCAACAAGACTCTTCTCCCAAGCTAAGATTATTTCATTATAACTCATAACTGATATCAAGCGCTTTCTTATGTGCACGTAGACATGGCTGTAACAAGAACTATGAGGAACCATAATAAACACAAAATATTTGAGCCACGCTTTGAACTTCTTTCAGAACACTGAATTTGCCATGAGCCTCTGTTGGGGCGTGCAATGTTAGAAAAACAGAAAAGCAAATAACAAACAGAAAGCCAAAACACAATGTTGATAATGATGTACCTCTACACATAATTCCCTTTTCCACACAGTGATATTGTGTGTACCACGCAAATCAACTGATATGACTTTATCAAATCGAATGCACATTTACGGAAAGATTGCCTTTAAATAACTTTGATCAAGTGCTTAGTCCAACTTATTGTACAATACGGAATGCACATTAACAAAAATAAATACCCATTTATGAATTGGATACACATGTGTGAATTTGAACGCTGCAAATAAATATGACTGCCAATAAACGATTTTGAATGCTCTGAATACGAATTGGGATATTAAGGCCAATCCTGTGTGGCAGACATTTTTTTAATGAATTTCAACTATTTCGGGCAATACATTTAGGAAATTGGCAGGGAAAACATCTTGTGTAACCCAATTAAGGCACATATTTGGATATTCATCAAATTTCGAGTTACATTTTCATACACTGTACAGTAAAGAAAAATCATTACCATTAAAATGAGTTTATATTTTCTCATCTGTAAACAAGATTAATAGTGACCATTTTTCTCCTTAGACTTGGTGTTATGATTGATGAGAAATGATAATTCTCTCCTGTAAACACGAAATGGCTAGTTTCACCATCTTCAAACAGCACCTACTGAGCAGGGTAAAGTGTTCTACGTTATTTTCAACTGAGTTTTTAATATCAAAATCAGAAGAACCATATATTAGCATTACAGCATTTCATACCCTCCTGACAATTATCAAGCTCTTACACAATGTGGAAAGTCTGTCATGAATATATTAAATAGTGTAGAGGT